GGAAAAATATTCATTTTAGTGTCCCAAAATGTCCATCAAAATCTTTTAAATTGTTATATTATTTAAAAATAATAAACAATTATTTATTTATTACTTTTTCTAGTATCATTGATACCTATAGTATGTGAATAATGATATAAAAGAATTTATTTTATAATTTAAATAACAAATTTCTATTTTTTGCTAAAACTTTCACGACCCAACGTTGGATCGCAAACAGTCTGGGCCATCTTTTTTCACGACCCAACGTTGGGTCGCAAACAGGCAACGGGTTAATAAATTTAAATTCTGTAATCCATTTAAATAATTCGTTTGTTGCATTGCATTTTCTGCAAACAATTGGCTCTGATAACAAAAAATAATAGATTGCAGCTATAAAAATAATTGCTTGTCGCTGTAAATATTTTCCAATTTTTCACCGCCTTTTCCTCCAATTTTCACGGAGAAAAAGAATTGTTACGTTGACAAAAAGATTGTTTATAATATAGAACTAGAAAATTTATTTTGTTGTCCTAAAAATTCAAATTTTTTCCAATAACAATAAATCTGTTGAGATAACAAAAAATGTTGTAACAACAACAACAACAAAAATTTGTTAGTTCTATTTTCTCTGTGTTCTATTCCCTCAACTGAAGATGATTGCAGATGATTTAAAATCAGCCAATTAATTGTCTAATGTAATGTTATATATTCAAAGAGCCTCGAAAATGCTTGGAAACTGTTCTCCTCGGTAAATTAAGCCCAGGAAAGTATTTCTCTTTGGATGCAGGTAAAGACTGAGAGGAAGTGCGAGTAAAAGCTAGGTCTAGAAGGAGTGCAGCTTAAGCTAGACGAATAGTGGGTGTGAATGGGTGGCAACATATACATATATATACATCGAGAGAGAAGTTGGGTTGGTTGTAGAAGAGTATGGCGAAGCAAGTAGTTTTCGCGGCAGGCAGGAGGTGGAAAGAGAGCGGGTGGTTGCCACATCGCTCTGCCCGGGTACCAAGCTACCCCTTCTCTTCTGTCACCTCTCACCCCCTTTGCCAACTCCTTTTCGCCCCAGCTATATACGGTTCATAATATCCTGCACGTCAGACTTTGAAAACTCCAACAATTTCCTACTCTGCCGCGTGGTTGGAGAGCCAAGGGGGGTGGCTTGGGAGGAGGGGGGAGATGCTGGGTACAGGGTGCCGCTCAGAAGATGGTTCAACTCCAAGAGTATATATGATGGGTGCAGAGGGTGGTGAGTTTTGAGGTGGGGTGGAAGAACCAGCAAGAGACGGGAATAGCTGGCTGATGGTGAACCTACGCTTCAAGGGAGACGAGTTTCGAGTTTATATAAAGTTTAGGGCTACATCAATAATTATAAGTAGAGTGAGTGAGTGAGAGAGAGAGAGAGAGAAAGCTGGGGCAAGATGCATGTTTTGGGAAGGAAAATCATCTCCTTGTGTCATTATTCAAGACATCGTCTTTCGAAACTCATTCATCTTTCATAAATTCAATTCGGCAATCTGCATATGACAGGAGATTTTTAATCTTTTCTTTTTTATTATTCTTTTTTATTGTTTTTTTCATTGTTCTTTTCATTGTTCCTTTCATTGTTCTTGATAGGATTAAATTTATACCAAATTGGATCAAATTGATTCTAAATTGAATCATATTCATTTACCGTATTTGATCAAAATTAGTATCAAAATGAATCAATCAAATTTTGTATGATTGAATTCGAATTATTTTCATACCATATTGAATCATATTGATAACAAATTGAATCAAAGCGTTACCAAATCAGATAACATTGATATTAGATTGAATCAAATTGATACCATATTGCATCAACATATCATCAAATTGAATCAAATTGCTACCAAGTGGGATAAATTTGGTACCAAACTTGATCGAATTGATACAACACTAGACCAAATTGGTACCACATTTTTTTTTAAATAATTCAAAACTATTTGTATTAATCTAAAAAAATGATTAATGTTATTATTCATTATTTTTTTGCTTCTAAAAAAATTAGCATTTTCTAACAAACTTTTTAGTTAATTAACAAATGTAAATCCTAAAAAATATTATCATTTTTTTAATATGAAAAAATTAATTTCATTGTTTGACAAATCAAAATTAAGCAGCAATTTTTTTCTTTTTTCTAAAAAAAAAAAATTTTTAATTGTTGGAAATGTAAAAATTAGAAAGTAGAAAATATTATTCACACTTACTGCTTCTCAATTACAATTCATAAACAAAGAACAAGTTTTAAGTTAAAAAAAATGTTACAAACCAAATTTTGTTTAAGAGATTTTAAATTTATTTTGGAAAAAATGTTTACAAAATTTCTATTTGTTAAAAACGATTGTAAAATTATTCGAAAGCACGAAAAACTTCTTTTCTAAATAAAAATTTAATCATTATTATTTTTCCATAGGAATTCAAATTCGTCAAAACGTTCAAATTCAAACATTTTTAAAATTCAACAACTTTTAAGAATATTTATTATAAAACATGAAGAAATTGATTACTCCGAGTCCTCGAATCGGAGTGATTGGTTTCTTTATTTTTTATAATAAATTAAAGATAACCGAGTGATAAGATAATTATTTTATAAAATAGAAATATTTTTACTGTCATTTTTGCAAAATTATTTTCATCATTTTAATTCAATTAATTATTTTCTAGAATTTTTAAATAATATTCTTTAAATCAATTTTCTTTAATAATTTTTGAAAAAGTTCTACTTTGAGAATTTTTAAATCCATTTGTTTGAAATTCAATTTTACGTGAAATTTCAATTATTCAGAAATTCTTCACTTGAATACGTATTAAAAAATAAACACTTCAAATAATTTCAGAAAAAAATTCAATTAAACTTTTTCAAAACAATTAATTCTACAAGAATTGTTGGTTACAAGTATGAAAAATTAAGATTTTCAAAGAATTTAATTTAAAACCTTTTCAAAATTCCATTATTTCTTAAAATTCATGCTATAATGCTTTCAATATTCAAATATTATTTGAATTTTCGAATGATTTGACTAATAAATATTCAAATCTAAAATTTTAACTGAAATGAAATGAAAATCAATTTTTATTAGATCAATTTTTATTAGAAAATTCTACTAGAATTCAATTATTTAAAGAAAAATAAAATGCAAATAAATAATTTATTGAAGAGCTGAATGTTTCTTAAAATACAATTTTCATAAAGAATTTTTTCAAAGCATTTTTAAATAATTGATTTCTTTTGACGATTTTTAATAAAATTGTTAAGAACAATTACATTTTTCGAGGAATTCGATTAAAATTGTATTAAAAATAATTGAAATTCAGCGATGAGTTTTATTTATGAAAATAATTGAATTCTCCTAAAAAGAATTTTTTTATTTATGAAAATAATTCAATCCCTGTAAAATTTTTTATTATTTATTGAAAATAATTAAATTATTGCGAAGAAATTTATCAAAAATTTGTAAATAATAGAATTTATATGAAATTGAGGAAAATTTTTGATAATAATTGAAATTTGGCAAAAAATTTTATTAAAAATTTTTAAAAAATTGAATTTTGCCAAGAATTTTATAAAAAATTTTAAAAATAAACGAATTTTGGAAAATAATTTAACTACTTTTGAAAATAATTAAATTTATGCAATCATTTATAATTTTTCCAAAATTCAATTTTTTTTAGTGTTTTTGAGAAAAATTCGTCTATAACAAATTTTTTTCTTTACTTCTTAACAAAATTAGGAAATTTACTTATTTTACATTATTTTTGTTTATGAATCATAATTTTCTTCACAAAATGATTATTTTGCTTTAGAAAAAGAAAAAAAAAATATTTGTATACTTCGTATTTTTAATCTTATTTCTTGTACCAAATTCTGTTTCTCTTTCATAAAAAGAAACTAATTTGCACCATTTCTATTTTTCAATTAAAATTTATTTTTTTAAACAAAATTCAAAGAGTTCTTAAAAATAAAAGAACAGATTGTTTATAATTTACAAATTTGATGTATCAATTATAAATTTTTAACAAAATTTGCTAGGCAAAAATTAAACTTTTTAGGTCCGTCTGAAAAATGCTGACACAAAACAATATATTATTTTTATATATCTTCTAATTGCTATTAAATGTTATTTTTGAAATAAAAATAAATTGACAAAATTGCTTCAATTTATTATTTCTATATGATTGATATAGTTTTGCACTTTGGTAATAAATTTGCCATTTTCCTCGAAACTGAATTTGTATCGTAGTTTGATGCAAACTCAGGAAACTACTGAACAAGGGATGAGTTAAAATTGAAGATGGATAGGGCGGTGAAGGGTGGTGAGAGGGAGAAGAGAGAAAGAGAATGAGGAGGGGTTATAATCGTTGAAGACGAAAAACATCATCTGCGCGGTAAAGTTGGAAGCTCGAAGCGCCAGTTTCTGCTAAAGATGACGGTTGATTAATGTTGTGAAGTAGGAGAGTGAGAAAGAAAGAGAAGCCACCCTTTATTTCGCTATAGTTATATTCTACTATAGAAATAGGAAGAGTGCAACTTCAGATAAGGTGGCAAATTAATATCTCGGCCATTAAAGGTCATTTCTGATCCATAGACGTCGTACCCATTGTCTTCTTCATTCCTTGTAATTTATTTCAACTTTGAAATCGAATCTCCATGGAAAATTTTCCAGAGGCGACAAAATTATTCACTTTTCCAAGAATTTTCTTTTTAGGGAAATTTCACACATAGAAAATTACAGAAATCGAAATTTAATATCGATTTGTAAAAAAAACTCTAAAAATTTGAACTAAATTTAGCAAAATTTGAAACATATTATTCAAACTCTAAATTCTGTATTTTGAAATTCACTTGTATTGTACAATTGTTCGAATACATTATCTAACTAGAAATGTAAATTTTTTTCTGAACTTTAATAATTTATTTTTTTACAATTGAAAATGTTTCTATGCACTATTTACATTTCGATTTTCATTTGAATTTTTGTGGATGAAATTAATGAATATTTAAAAAAAATAATAAATTTATTTTATTAAACAATTATTGAGATAATATTTTTATTCTACATTTTTTCTACTTTTGAAATTGCAAACGTTGTCGAATCTTTTCACATATTGTCGGTGTAGCCAGTTCCATATTTGTAGACTTCAATGCCTGCAACAGAAAAATTCCAGTGAGAGATTTAAAAATATATGTATATATATATATATATATATATATATATATATATATATATATATATATGAATTAAAAAATAAGGAAATTCAAATATGTTGCTATGGAATAATATTAGAAATATTTTATCAAAGTGGAAATATTCCACAATTTTTTAGAAATATCATTTTTATTATTACTTATTACAATTATATTAACAAATTAATTTTTAGTATTTGTTTTGTATTTTCCTCATTTACTTTTCAATATGTTTGGTATTTTTTTTATTAGTTTTTAAATATTTTAAACATTTTAAATATTTTAGTAATTTTAGTATTTTTAGTCTTTTCAAATTTTTAGTATTTTTAGTGCTTTTGAAAAATACTTTACTCATTTAATAGTTTCGACTATTTGGTAAAAAATCCAAAATTGTCGATAATTATCAAAAATTCAAAAATCCAAATTTCTTAAAATTTAATATTTTTTCCTTTCTTTTATGGAATTTAGCTTCATTATTTTTGTGCTTTTGTAAAATACTTTACTTATTAAGTAGTCTCGACTCTTTGGTAAAAAATCCAAAATTGTCGAAAATTATCAAAAATTCAAAAATCCGAATTTCTTAAAATTCAATATTTTTTCCTTTCTTTTATAGAATTTAGCTTCATTACTTTTGTGCTTTTAAAAAATACTTTACCTATTTAATAGTCTCGACTCTGTAAGAATTTAGATATCTCTAAGGTACGTGAATCGTTGTGTGTGTTGCGAGAGGTGGGAGATTAGAAGTAGAAGGGAGATAAATTTGATGTCGCATTGTCGAATTTCGTCGTATTTAGTGGTCAAGTACCCTTGGCATGTTTAACATGCGAAAGGGATATTCGAAACTTTTTAAATAAGTAAAGTATCGATCTGATTCCAAATTATAAGACAACGCCCGATTGGGGTAAATATTCATGTTAATTTTATTTAAATATTTTAATATTGTGCATTTGTTAAAATGAAATGATTTATTTAAAAAAATGTAGCGAATTGTGAGCATCGTGAGAACACATTTGTCGGCGTCAGATTCGTTGCCTGTTCTCTTTTACTTGAATCATTCGGATTGGACCTAATCACCAAATTATCTTTGTTGATAATCGACGGACTTCTGCAAAATTATTTCTGCGTTGTTGCTGATCCTTCACTCTCTAAAAAATTGGAAATTCGATCATCATATCGCTCCAATAATAATAAGAAAAAGGAAGCAGAGCATCAAGAAAACGTGGACCGGAAGTTCGACGAGTAAATAATTCATTTCGACTTGCTACAAGTTCGTAGGATTTTTCTGATATATATTTTGACTAATTGGTGAGTCCAATTCATTCGATTATAATTTTCTTTATTTTATAACAAAAAAGAAAATAACTTTATTGCTTGACCACACATGAAAATTGAATTTTAATATAACTAAAGATATAAATTAGTATTTCGAGAATCTCAAATTGAACATATTTTATGACGATTTATATAAATTTTTTAATAATAATAATTTGATATTCGATTTTATTTGTAAATTGTATGAATGGATATGTGTGTGAATGCGTGCGTTTAATATTGGGCGAAATATCAAATTTTTTAATATCGAACTCATAACCTTATGTGACTTTCTTTGTGTTTGTTCGTAAACTAAAAAAAAAAATATATATATATATGCGATTAATTGGTTAATAAATTTATAGAGTTCTGAGATTATATTTGTTTTCTTCTAACCGAATATTTCACTTATCTATTTCATAAAAAAAAAAAAAAAATAAATAAATAATTAAAGTTAAAATCATATTAAATTTGTTACAATTGGCGCCCAACGTGGGGGCAATTTGAGGTTTTTGTAATTTTTGAAATATTTTATATATTATCAAATTTTAATTTGTCTGAATTTTATTTTCATGATTGATGGTTGAAACTCGTTCTGGGAGTAATACAAACAAAAGCGACAAGTGTGAGTCACCTCGAACAATGTCGTTTAATCAACAGGCAATGGATGAGCTGAAAGAGGAGCTGGCGAGAATTAGCAAACAACGTATAGAAGCCGAAAAGGAAAATACAGTCTTGCGTCAGGAAATATTACGGTTCAAGGACATAGTCGAACATATGAAAAATAACAGCGAAGGTGGAAACAAGGTTGATTCTTCTATACAAACTGAAGAAATTGAGGTATTTAAAGAGAAAACTAATTTTGTAAATCAAAATGTAATCGACCAAACGACGCATGACGATAATTTTGAAAATAAAAAAATTTTGCAACCGGGTAATCAATGTAATGCTTATGAAAATCGAAAATCGATTGATTCTTCTAATCAAAGTTGTATCAATATCGGGGGTTGTCGAAATGATAAACAAGATATTTTAGTTACGGGTTTAATGAATTATTTTCAATCAATGCAGGTTACGACTCCTTTGCCAAAATTTGATGGAATAAAATTAAATCCAATAGAATTTATTAAACAACTTGAAAAATATTTTGTGAGAAAAAATGTTTCTGATGACGCGAAATTATTAATGGTTGAAGATGCGATGATAGGCCGAGCAAAATTATGGTATGATGCGCGAGTTTTCCCTTTTATAACTTATTCACATTTTAAAGATAAATTCCTTGAGGAGTTTTATTCGATTGAGGCAAGAATGGTTGCTAAATCTAAGTGGGAGAATCGCCGGTTTAAGGACAGTGATCAGTCGTTGCAAGCATACTACGTAGAGCAATTACGCGACGCGAAATTTTGTTTAACTTCTCTTCAAGAATACGAAGTAAATTATTTGATAGTGAAACAATTACCGCAACGAGCTCGCGAAGTATTGGCAACGATTGATTATATGGATACATCAAAAATAAGTCAGACGTTATCACGTTTGGATGTGACTCGTGGTGATGCGGAAATAGGGGTGCCGTCAAGGTCTCATAGTAATAGTAATTTTTCGGAAAAATCTAATAATTGTAAAAATCAATTTGGGCAAGCTCGACAAGGTTATGATCGATCTGAATCTCACAATGACGAAAAACGCGGTAATGTAAATTCAGCCAAGGCTGGTCCCGAAGATAATGATCGTTCCCGAAATTGGAGACATAGGCCGGTAAATAATAATCCACAATATTATCGAGAACAACAACGAGATAAAATATCGGAAAATAATCAAATAAGGGAAAAAAATAATATAAATGATAATAATCCTGGATCGAGCGTTCGAGTGATTAATAAATCGAATATGTCCGAGTTTTTAGAGGATTTGTGTTGGGATGTTGAGCCCACAAAAAAAACGTCTGTCGAAAATTTAGAAATGAAAATAGTTAGTCCTCGTATTCGCGCGATAATTGAAGAAAATGAGGTACCAATCTTGGTTGATAGCGGCAGCGAAGTAACAGTTATTTCTGAGGCATTCTATAATCAATTAAAAACTAATTGTAAAATAACAGAATTACCTGTAAATAACGTGACAGTTAATGTCGCCGTCGGTAAAAAATCAACCACAATAAAAAGACAGGTACAATTATCGGTTAAAATTGATACGGAAATTTTAGATTTTCCCTTTTTAGTTGTTCCGGGATTATTAACAAGTGTCTTGGTCGGAATTGATTGGATGGTACGATTTAAATGTGTCATTGACGTTGCGAATCAACGCATTAGATTAGGAGAAAAAGATTTATCCGAAAAATTTGTGACATTTCGAATGGCTCGCGAAATGAATGCTTCGTGTAGACTTATAAAAACGGAAGGAATTTTATGGTATGATTCGGAAGGATCGCAAAGTAGATTAGGAAATGGAATAAAAAAGAGAGAGGAAATAATTGTTGATATTGAGGATTCATTTAATGCTGCTTTGGGGCCCATTCAAAATAATGAGGAAATAAAAAATGTCATGTATATGTCGGAGTGCGATTCTGATTTCATTGGTGAGGTAGATGATTGTGTATCACAGATCAATAGTATAGATCATGATCAAAAGGAACAAGTAAGAGCGTTATTGTTGAAATATGAAAAAGTTTTCTCTAAGATTCCAGGATGTACAAATGTGTACAGTCACTCAATTGTATTAAAGGATAATAGATCAATCGTTCGAAAATCTTATCCTGTCGCGTTAAGTCAAAGAGCAGGTGTACGCGGGGTTTTGGATCACATGGAGAGATTAAATATTATAAGACGTTCTAATAGTAGGCATTGCAATCCGCTTCGTATAGTGGTAAAAAAGAATGGAGAAATTAGGGTCTGTTTAGACGCACGATTTATAAATGATAAAATTGATTGCGATAACGAGTGTCCACCACGTATAGAGGAATTAATGCAAAAATTTGAAGGTGTTAGGTTTTTATCTACAACTGATATGAATTCGGGTTATTGGCAAATTCCTCTTGAGGAGGACTCTAAACAATATACAGCCTTCCTATTTGATGGGCATCTGTATGAATTTAATCGTGTTCCGTTTGGGTTGAAGACAGCAGGTAGTGGCTTCATTAGAGCGTTGAGTTTAGCTTTGGGTCAGGAACTCGAGGAGTATATCTCGTGCTACGTCGATGATATACTTATAGCTTCGAGGACATTTGAAGAGCATTTGAATCATCTGGAAAGTTTATTTATTAAATTAGAAGAGGCAGGTTTTACCCTTAGTTTAAATAAATCTATGTTTTTTAGGGAAGAAGTGTCCTTTTTAGGATTTAAATTATCGTCTGAGGGAATCCGAGCCGAAGAAAAAAAATTGTCCGTGATTGCTGATTTTCCGTGTCCCAGGGATAGGAGACAATTGCAAGCATTTTTGGGCGTTTGTGGTTATTATAGGCGATTTAGCATAAGGCATTCGGAATTTATAGGGCCTTTTAGGGATTTATTAAGTAGCGCAAATAAATGGTCTTGGACAGAAAAACACACGCAGGCTTTTAATAATTTAAAAAGAAATTTCCTGCATGCAGTAACTCTAAGTCATTATTTGCCTCATAAAAAATTTAAACTTCAGACTGATGCTAGTGATATTGGTCT